ATTTGCCTTCTTTCATTTTGCTATTTTATACTCATCCATTACCTAATTCTTAAGGAGCTTTACTCCAACGATACGCTCAGAAGAGTCCACTGGATTCATTTTTCTTTCTCCCCACACATATCACTTCCCCCATTTTCAACTAATATATTAATTGGCTAACATGTTTCCAGTATCGAGATGGCGTGATAGAGAGTGAGAGAGAGAGAGAGAGAGTGACTTTGTGTATAGAGAGAGAGAGAGAGAGAGAGAGAGAGAGAGAGAGATACTTTGATTGATTGCCCCCTGCAAGCGCCCTGACTGGGACTAGGGATCAAACCTATGATCCAGGTACATGCCCTTGACCTGGAATTGAACCCATGACCCTTCGGTGTGTGGGCCAATGCTCTAACCATTGAGAAGCTCTGGCCAGGGCCACAAGGCCTTCTTATAAGGACACCAGCCATTGGCTTCAGGGCCAAACCTAATCCAGTAGAACCATGTTTTAACCAATTGTGTCTGTGAGGACCCTATTTCCAAATAAGGTAACATTCTTTAGTTCTGGGTGGATAGGAAATTTGGGGGCGGGGAATGATTCAACCCAGTAAAACTGGGATGTGGTGTTTCTGGGGTAGGTTCCTGATCATCTCTAGCCTCTCCCTCTCTTAGGTGGCCCCTTGAAGGTGATGATCCAAGAGAACTTGACAATGGAGCAGGTGGTGGAAAAGAACCCACTGGTGGAGCTGGGAGGCCAATACCAGCCACCCAACTGCTGGACATGGCACCACACAGCAATAGTGGTACCCTACTATGGGCAAGCCCAGCACCTGCAGCACCTGCTCTTCCACCTGCACCCCTTCCTGCAGCGCCAGCAACTGCATTATGCCATCTATGTGGTGAATCAGGTGTGGCAGGAATGGAGAGGGTCAAGGGCAAGAGGGCAGAGGGCTTTTAGCATGAGTTTGAACAATCAGAGCTGAAGTTGTCGCTGTGAGCTGAGAGTGTCTGGGTCACAGAATATCTGCGGGGCTGGATTTATGAGTACAGATCTTGAACTGGTAGCAATCAGAGCCAAGGACTATAGGTTTGGTCTTAACTAGTTGAGTTTGGGATCAGCTTGAATGGCTGCCTGTGAGAAAGGCTCCGTTTCATGAAGTCGAGGCCTCTCTGAGACCGGGGCTGACCAGATTGGGCAATAAAGATAAGGGGTGAATTAAAGGGGTTTGGGATCAGTTAGATGCCTGTTTGAATCCTGGTCTTGTCCATTACTACATGTGTTATCTGAGTGTGGGACCATGTGTCCATCCATCCAGCCAGCCAGCCATCCATCCATCCATCCATCCCATGTTGCCGGAATAACTAGGAATAATAACCTTGGGGAACTTACCCTCTGTGCATGGTTTTCTCCCCATGAGACAACAATGATAACAACACCTGCATTATTGTGTTGTGGGGAAAATTAATCGACTGAGTGAATGTATAGCAGTGAGGCGAATGCCTGGCACATAGTAGGCGCTCAATAAATGATAGGATGATGATGATTATAATGATGGTGATGATGGTGATTTTGATGATGGTAATGATTGTTTTGATGGTGATGATTCTGGTAATTATGGTGACAGTTAAGATGCTGTTGCTAACAGTGGTGACAGTGGTGATAGTGATAATTGTGTTCGTGGTGATGATGGTGGTGATGCTAATATTGATAATGGAGTTAATGTGATTATGTTGAGGTAATGAAGATAGTGGTGATGGTAATGATGATGGACATGATGATAATAAGTGATGATGTAACAATTAAGGTGGCGGTGATAAAGAAGATGATGATGATGATGGAGGAAGAAGAGGAGGAGGAGAGGCAAACCCTGTCATGGTTCCTGGGCATCAGACCCAGTTATTGTCTGGTCAGAACAGAAACAGACCCAGGTGGTCCCTGATCACTCCTAACCTCTGCCTCCCTCAGATGACCTCTTGAAGGTGATGATCCTTGAGAACCTTGAAGATGGCTGAGGAGGGAGAGCTGAGAGGCTGAAGTTACTGACTCTGCCTAGGATGGGGATCCAAGAAAAGTTTCCCAGGGGAAGTAACCTTTACATTGTACCTTTCTGGACAAGTGTGGGTTTTCCAGCTCCACAGTGGGAATAAGAAGGGGTTCCAGGCAGAACAGGACGTGAAAAGGTGAGAAGGATGGACCTGGCAACACCACTGCCTGCTGATGAGGACTGCACTGAGCATCTCTGTCCACCCAGGTGAACAACACCGCCTTCAACCGGGGCAAGCTTCGCAATGTGGGGTCCTGGGAGGCCATGCAAGAAGAGGACTGGGACTGCGTCTTCTTCCACGATGTGAACCTACTGCCAGAGGACAACCGCAACCTCTACATCTGTGACATCTTCTCTGCCCACGTGTCTGTGGCCATCGACAAGTTCAACTACAAGTAGGTGGAGGGAGGGGGACTGTTGGCCAGGCCCTGCTCTTCCCTGAATCGTGCCCTGTTCATGTGTATGATCCAGACCCTGATCCCTGGGGTTGAGGCAGGGAGGGCACGACGGGGCTTGAGCAAAGACCTCATAGACAGTGAAGAATCTTCCTCTTGGATGTGGATGCCAAGTAGGGATGGAATTGGTTATTAATATGGGAGGCAGGATGCACCTAATAAAGGGGTAGGCAAACAGGTTTTTAACTGAGGTCAGAGGATGGGAATGAGTGATAGGAGGGGCCAAGTAAGGGTCAGGAAGGGGGCCATCATTGGGGTCACAAGATGGGCTTGTCAGATGATTCAGGGAGTGGGTATGGGTCGGAGGAGAGGTTATCACAGGGGTGAGTGGAGAAGGGCTAACCCAGAAATTAACCTTGGAGATCCTGGCCCGGAAAGGATCAGGGCCTATTACCTGACCTTCTTTGTGTTTCCAACTCTCTCTGCCATCTCTAGGCTGCCCTACTGAGGCTATCTTGGAGGGGTGTTTGCCCTGCGTCCAGTTCACTACCTCAAGATAAATGGCTTTCCCAACACGTACTGGGACCGGGATCGTGAGGACAATGACATCGCTGCCAGGTGGGGAGGCCTTGCTCTAGGGAGCCTAGCACAGGGCTGCAGATTCCTCCGTGGTGTGGGAACTACAGGCTGCCCTAGACTGAGGGCGGCATGGACCACCCTGGCCTGAGAGGCTGCTTTGTGGCCTGGGGAACCTATCAGGGGAAACAGGCATTTAGCATCTGCCCTCTTCCCTCTAAGGCTGGAGCTAAACGGGATGCTCCTCTCACGACCCCATCTGCTCTTTGGCCGCTACCACATGCTGGAGGACGGGCTGGACCACAGCCATGAGCAGAGTCCCAAGAGGTGAGTCAGGGTTGGAATGGGGTGGCTGGTTCTGGGTCATCCCTGAGCCCTGGGCTCACATGGCTATTGCTCCCCCCAGTCCTGGCTTCCTGGCCGAGATCCAAAGCAGGTGGCAACAAGATGGCGCGAACTCACTGGGCTACACGCTGCTCTCCAAGGAGCTGCAGCCTCTCTACACCAACCTCACCGTGGACATCACCGTCCCAGCCCCAGGAGCCCCAGTGCCAAGCTGAGGGTTATCTGGAGGCTGGAACAGAATCCCTAAGATGGGCTGCAGGGAAGCCCTCTGACTTGCCTCACCTGGTTTCTTATTAAAGGAGAGTTTATTTTACTTGATTCTTCTCTCTGACATCCCTAATCCTCCCTCCCTCCATCCATCCATGCATTGTCCCATTCAGATTCACCAAGCGCTGGTTCTCCCCACACAGTTCCAAGTGCTTAACACACACACACACACACACACACACACACACACACACACTCTTCTCATGCAAACTCATGGGGTAAGCACTATTATAATCTTCCTCTTGAAAACCAGGACAGATGAATTAAATGACTTGCCCAGTTGATGTAGAATTAAATACAGGAACCTGGATCCTGGGCCTGTCCACTTAAAGATGATGCTATTCTGCTTTTTGTAGTGAACTGAAAAAAAGGGAGGGGGGGAGAATGAATAAAAAAATGTGAGGATGGTTGGATAAATTATAGCATGTCCACATGATAGAATACCATGCAGATATTGGTTAGCTGTATTGTGTGAAAAGAACAAGTACACATGTGTATGGTATGATTTGGTATTTATAAAACAGGAAAGAGTTCCTACATAGATGTATGATTATGAGCATACTAATGAGTGCATGTGGATAACAAATGTTGGCAAACTTCTTCTGTAAAGGGCCAGAGAGTATATATTTTTGGCTTGTAGATAACATGGTCGTTAACACAATTAACTCTGCCACTGGAGCACAAAAGCAGCCCCAGACAATAAACAAGTGAATATGAATGTGTTCCAATAAAACTTTATTTAAAAAAACAGATGGCAAAGCAGATTTAGCTGATGGCCAGTTTGCTGACTCCTGGTGTGTATGTTTAGGAGCCTGTATAAACATATGAAAGAGTCCATAACCAGTCCATACACTGGTTATCTATGAGAGGCTCATCACTTCTTTCTGAACCTGGTGATATTTAAATCACTGCCCAAGATATTCAATATAAAATATCAGAATTGTGTGGAAAAACTTATCTGTAACTCTCCAACGCAGCTTAACAATGTTGCTTTAAAAAAAAGTCCAATTGATTCCCAAATTCAAGCATATATTTATGTCTACTATCCCCATTTTTTCCTGCTCCTTTGTTTAATTCAAAGTTGCTTCATGGACCAGTTACAACTGCTAAGCCCATAAAATTCCCTTCCAATGTCACTATACTTCTAAGGGGACACCACTTTTTCTGACCTTCAAAAGCAGTCATTCACTATGCCCCCTATTTTGATACTTATATTTTGAATAGCTTTCCATTAAATAGACATGAGGACTTCTGTGAGGATCAAATGAGATGAGGCACGTGAAAACGCTTCACAAACATTTGGTTAAATTGTAAAATGTGTGTACCTGGCTATAAAGCAAGTCCTCTTCCTGGGCTGAAGAAACTCCAAGGAGGCTAGTTGCTACGGAGAGGAAGCCAGGTGTTGCTATGTGATGTCATTACATGGCGCCCACAGCAAATGTTTCTGGGCTGGGCTAGGCTGTGGGCCACATTTTGTGCCATGGGGTCTTGGCAGCATTGGCTGTGATTTGGTGGGGTGTCGCTCTGGGGTGGTGGCAGGGCCTGTGTCCCACTTGGGGTAAGCCGAGTGTTGGTTTGTTGGCACCAGGTCCGTGGTGCCGTTTATTTTTAAATGGCCAATGCGCATCATGGCAGCTTCTGCATTCAGCATCTTCCCCCTGGTGGTCAGTGCATGTCATAGCTACTGGTCGGATGGACACTTAGCCTTTTATATATATATATATAGTAGGTATTAAAGAATAGATGAAAACAATGAAATAGAGGATGAATAATAAAATTATTCAGTACATTTTAAATCTCAATATTTGTGGTAATAAAATCCTCAATAGCCTAATATGCAAATTGTCCCCTCGACCAGGAGTTCGACCAGGGGGTGGGGCCCGCCAACCACCCAGGGCCCCTTGT